GGTGTCATCTGCATATCTGAGGTTACTGATTTTTCTCCCAGCAATCTTGATTCCAGCTTGTGCTTCAGCCAACCCAGCATTTCACATGAAGTACTCTGCATATAAGTTAAATAAGCAGGGTGACAATATACAGCCTTGACGTACTCCTTTCCCGATTTGGAACCAGTCTGTTGTTCCATGTCCAGTTCTAACTGTTGCTTCCTGACCTGCATACAGGTTTCTCANTCTTATGCATGTCATAACACTTTCTCAAAATATATACAGAAAAAAATAGAAGTAGAAGATGTAGACAAATATATAAAACTAATCAGACAATTTTAATACACATATTTTAGTAACTGATGGAATAATTAAATCAAACATCAGTTAGGATCTAGAGAATTTGAACAGTGTCATTAAAAAGTTGACGTGAGTCCTTCTTTTCATGGCAGAATCCTGAGTGCAGGATGAAAGCGAAAGTTGCTCAGTCATGTCCGACTTTTTGCGACCCCATGGACTATATAGTCCATGGAATTCCCCAGGCCAGAATACTGGGGTGGGTAGCCTTTCCCTTCCCCAGGGGATCTTCCCAATCCAGGAATCAAGCCCAGGTCTCCCCCACTGCAGGCGGATTCTTTACCAGCTGAGCTACAAGAGAAACCCAAGAATACTGGAATGGGTAGCCTATCCCTTCTCCAGCGGATCTTCCCAACCCAGGAATCAAACTGGGGTCTCCTGCATTGCAAGCAGATTCTTTACCAGATTCTGAGCTATATATGAACTATATATATACCTGAATATATACATATATATGTATATATGCATTTTATTTTCTCTACTGGTTACCTTTATCAACTGAAACAGTACTCTTACAAGTTTCTCTCGTATCACATTAACTACAGGCAAGAATTTTTAACAACCCATTGGTAAAATGGATCTGAAATCCTGCCCTTTCCTATAGGTCCATTCTCTGCCACTCCCACCTAGAAAATTCTGCCTCTTTAATATTTTTATGTCCCTGAAGTTGATGCCATTTGCGTTCTTCCCCGAACCCATAACTAAACTTTCCTTGTTTATCTGTAGGTTGATTCTGAAAGACTAAAATCAATAAACAGCATAACTTTATCATAAGAAATTGTCTGTCTTGGTAGCACTAAGTAGCATCCTATGATCGTGTCTCTTTTTTGTTCAGCTTTTTGTTTTTCCCTGAGTTTTAAATTGCCTTTATTTTTATTTGAGCTACTTTATTTTATTTTATCACACCCTCACCATTTCCCCCAGACTCTATCAGATATCCTGCTGCTTTGCCTCCTAACCCACATGGTCTCTGCGAGACCACTCTACCACCCCAACTCTAGTCTAGACCAGTTATTCTTGTCACTGTGGCACCCGTGGAGACCCCCTCACTGCTCTCCGCGTTGGAGCCACTGTTCCTTAGATCTCACATCATCTTCTTTCTTGATTTGCTTCCACTTGCATCATTTGCTTCCACTTCCATTTCATCACACCCTCCAGATGCTTTCCTAGGAAAGAACTATGGGAGGTAAACTTTCTGAGTTTTGCAATATTTTAAAATGTCTCTCTCATGCCTGTTGAAAACCTTAGTTGTATGTAGATTGCAGTTTGAAAACCACTGTCCCTCAAATTTGGGGCTATAATTCCATCTCACGTCCAGTGTTGCCAATGACAAACCTGATGTCAGTCTGACACTCATTCCTCTGCGAATTATGTCTTTTTTTTTTTCCCCTGAAAGATATTTGGGTGAACTAACGTGTCTAAATGTGGGTCAGGTTTCTCTGTTTTTTCTTGCACCACCTGTCTCATCCAGACAGTCTCAGATGGCACTCCTGTTCAACCACATTCCCAACCCCATGCTGACTGCACCTCAACCTCCAGGTCCCCAAAATTCCCTCTGGGGCTAACTCTGCAGGTGTTTTAATCTGCTGATTTTTCAACCAGCCTCACCCCTCAAGACTCTTACGTCTGAAATGTGGTAAAACCGTTCCTCTAATCTTTATATGGGTGTATACCTGGTTTATTCCTTCATTATCATCGTGACTGCGTTTCTGGGAAGAGAAGACAGAAATAAATGTGATAGATCCACCAACTTAAATTGGAAACTTCCAGTTATCCTTAATAACCTTTTTCTTGTTTAAAAAATCATCTCTGCATTATAGAAAATAATAATCATTTGCCATCCCACTACCCACAGGTAACTGTTCTGAGTATTTTGATAAATTTTCCTGATATTTTTATCTAGAAATGCACACTTTTTCTTTATTTGCTCATTTTTTAAAAATAATCATTTTCCCAGCACCATTTATTGTATCAATCTTCCTTTCCCTACTGATTTGGGATGACAGTTTAATATTATTAAATATTAAATTCTTAGATAAACTATTCTGTTCTAATATCAACCCTTGTGACTTAAAGCTGCCCATTATGATGGATCTACTGAGTGTTATATCAGTTACAAAGTCTATAGCTACTCTGTATCATTAGCAATAAATCCCTTTTCATCCATCTTCCTCTTTATCTTGTCATTTTCATCCATTTCTTCTTATATGTGAGCTTTAGTATTATTTTATTAGCTGCCCCTCCTCTCAGAAAAGAAGCTCATTGGTCTTTCTGTTAGAAATAAATTCATTTCTTTAAAAAATGTTATGCATTGACCATAGGTGAAGCGCTGCCCTCATGGTGCTTGAATACTATCAGTTCAACCATCCCCAGACTGATAATTATTTTGAAAGTTTCTCATGTTTAGTTTCCTATTCCAGGGAGGTAGCATGTTTGTGTCTTAAATATAAGATTCATCATCTGTGATGGCAGCTACCTTTGTTTTTAATCTTTCTTTAAAAGATTTACTAAATGTTTATAATTCTATGCAATAGTCACCCAGTGTTTATTTTATTTTATATCATTTTATCACTTAATAATTACTTTTGATATTTGCATTCAAATTTATAATCAGATTGATAGTAGTTTAGGACTGGCTGTGAATGTATTGGTATCAGACATCATCTTCCTACATGTGAAGCTTTTCATTTTAAGCCTTTAATTTTGAATAGCTTTTAATAAAGGGTATATTCAAGTAGAAGACATGCTTTAAACAAGAAGATATGGGTTATTAAAAGCTCATTGAGGTATTAAATACAAAGGTCCATCTAGTCAAAGCTATGGTTTTCCCAGTAGTCACATATAGATGTAAGAGTTCAGTTCAGTTCAGTCGCTCGGTTGTGTCTGACTCTTTGCCATCCCATGGACTGCAGCACACCAGGCTTCCCTGTCCATCACCAACTCCCAGAGCTTGCTCAAACTCATGTCCATTGAGTCAGTGATGCCATGCAACCATCTCATCCTCTGTTGTCCCCTTCTCCTCCCTCCTTCAATCTTTCCCAGCATCAGGATCTTTTCCAATGAGTCAGTTCTTCGCATCAAGTGGCCAAAGTATTGGAGTTTCAGCTTCAGCATCAGGCCTTCCAGTGAATATTCAGGACTAATTTCCTTTAGGATTGACTGGTTTGATCTCCTGCAGTCCAAGGGACTCTCAAGAGTCTTCTCCAACACCACAGTACAAAAGCATCAATTCTTTGGCACGTAGCCTTCTTTATGGTCCAACTCTCACATCCATTCATGACTACTGGAAAAATCATAGCTTTGACTATATGCATGTTTGTCAGCAAAGTAATGTCTTTGCTTTTTAATATGCTGTCTAGGTTTGTCATAGCTTTTCTTCCAAGGAGCAAGCATCTTTTAATTTCATGACTGCAGTCACCATCTGCAGTGATTTGGAGCCCAAAAAACTAAAGTCTGTCACTGCTTCCATTGTTTCCCCGTCTATTTGCCATGAAGTGATGGGACCAGATGCCATGATCTTCACTTTTTGAATGTTGATTTTTAAGCCAGCTTTTTCACTCTTCTCTTTCACTTTCATCAAGAGGCTCTTTAGTTCCTCTTCACTTTCTGCCATAAGGGTGGTGTCATCTGCATATCNCACCTGATGTGAAGAACTGACTCATTTGAAAAGGCCCTGATGCTGGGAAAAATTGAAAGCAGGAGGAGAAGGGGACGACAGAGGATGAGATGGTTGGATGGCATCACCGACTCAATGGACTTGAGTTTGATCAAACTCCAGGAGTTGGTGATGGACAGGGAGGCCTGGTGTGCTGCAGTCCGTGGGGTCGCAAAGAGTCGGACACGACTGAGCGACTGAACAAGAACAGACTTAGAATAGCTGAGAAATCTGAGATCAGCATAAATCTGTATCTTTTCTCAAAACTTATTTCGTTTTTACTGGATTGTTGTGGCATTTCTTTTCCTGTAGACCTCTAAGATTCTATGAGAATATTTTTAGGTATTTTGTTAATTTCCTTGGAATAGGAAAACCCTTTAATCTGCATGTTCACGTCTGTACTACATAGGCATCTTGTGCTGCCTTCAGCAATTGCATCTCTTCCCATCACTCCAGTCCCTCCGTGAGAAGCACTTAGATTCTCAAATGTGAGGACCATCTGCTGTCTTCCATCTCTCCCCTGTCGGACCGCTTCCTCTGCCTTCTGGGGAGCTTCCCAAATTTTCTTCCATTTTCATTTTCTCATTTTCCATTCCACTGTCTTTACAGTCTCCTCATCTCACCTCTTTGGTTGCACTTCTAAATAGCAAACCTCTGCAGCCCGTCTCTGTGAACTTCCCCCACACCTCAACAGGAACGCCTGCATCAAGCAGGTCCAAAAACCGGGCCCTTCAGCCGCCCAGCTTGTAGCAATGTCTGGCCAACAGGGACCAGAGCTCGTTTATGGAGTAACTGAAAATTCAAAGTGTTATGTGTGCAGCACGGGCTGGCACAGACCTGAGTGGCTTTTTAAGGAGCGAAGCTCAGTACACGTTTCCTGGCTGCAAAGATCCAGGCAGACTGTCACGTCTCATCGTTACAAACGCAGCTCCCAGCCTCGAGGCGATGACACGACAGCAAAGCGGCAGCCGCGGAAGCTGCCAGAAGGACACGTGACACGTAAACAAACATGGAGGCCCAGGTCCCCGGAGCCCGAGGGCTTGCGGAGCGGATGGTGAGAACAGGATCAGCCGTATTTCAAAAACTCACAGAACCCCAGACGGTGGGAAAGCATGAGCTGGGCTGTGCTGAACGACACTCCACTGTGTCCGCAGCAAATGTCCGGGGACTGTGCGGGGGTTCCGGGGCCCGTTCTCCGCCCGCCACCAGCCCGCCTCGTGGGAGCTGACGGCCTGGCTCAGAGGCCTCCCTGCCGTGTTCGTCGTGTGCTCTCGGCTTTGGTTGAATTAACAGCTGTGATTAACGGTCATGAGAAGTGGGGGTCACAGCGATTTAATCCCTGTCTAGCTGAAGCTTGTGTCAGTGCACCGGGTAGTTTAGATCCTTCTGCCGACAGTAATTACTGAGCGTGCCAGGTCTCCTTCCAGCTGTCCCCGCATCGTCCAGCAAACGCGCAGCATCTTAGCGATAAGGGGTCTTGTCAGACGTGAAGTCATCATTCTGAACACAAGATCTCATTACAGATAGAGTTAGTTGGGCGGGCGGGCGGACGTGTTTTTGTGAAGTTGCTTGTTTGGATTTTTTTTTTTGTCATGTCCTTCTAACTCATCAATGTACATTTTCCCCCTAAAAATCCTGTCTTTTTTTGGGGGGGGGGCGGTACTCTGGGTAATTGAATTAAATAACAGAAGCCCCATACCCTGGGGCTGAGTACAGAGTGGCCCAGAACAGTCTGGGGTTTTCAGGTTTGGGTAAAAGCAGGTGCGTGACAGCTCAAATGTCAGATCCAGTCCACCAGGAGCCCAGAGCCGCGCACCCGTTTCCCTAATTAGCGGGAGAATGGCCCTGGGGACTTGGGGACTGGAGCCCACCCGGCTCCCTCCCTCGGGGGCCGGGGGAGGGGAGGGGGGCAGGTGTTCCCCCCGGAGCCCTCCCCGGCTCAGACGTCCTGGCCGCTTCCCCACGTGGCGCTGGGGTCACCGCGGCAGGAAAGCCGGGCAGCAGGCAGCTTAGAGAACCCGGGCGGGGGCGGCTGGGAGGTGCCAGCGCGGGGGCACAGCCGGGGGGCAGCTCGCAGAGAAGCGCGCCCCGCCCTCGCCGCGGGGCCCTCGCCGCGGCGCCCTCACCGCGCCGTCTGTTGCAGGGAATACTACATCACCATGGTCAAGTGGGCCACCAGCACCAAGGTCGCCGTGAACTGGCTGAGCCGGGCGCAGAACGTGTCCATCCTCACCCTCTGCGACGCCACCACGGGGGTCTGCACCAAGGTAGGGGGGCCGGGCCGGCGCGGCCGGGGCGTCAGGGCCACGTGGGAGCCGGGGAGAGAGACTCACGCGGCAGGGGGGGACATACACAGAGACGCGCGCGCGCACTCACAGGCTGAGCGCTGGCTGGTCCAGGCTCGCAGGCCTCCGTTTTGCTGCCGCCTGGTGGCTGACTTGAGAACTGCTGCAGACTCAGTCCCTTCCCTTCACCTCGCCCCCGCCCACTCCACACAGGGGCCTGCTCCCAGTCCTCCACGTGGCGCTGGAGCGGGGAGTGGCCCGGCCTGAGTTCCCAGGCCCAGCGCTGCATCCAGGCCTGGCCCTTTCAGCGTCAGCGCCCCCAGCCCGGCCACAGCCAGCCGGTCCCCTGGGCAGTCAGCCTCCTGTCTGCAGGTCACCACGGTGTTCCTGTGGCCCCAGGCCAGCTCAGTGGGCGGTTAGAGGAGGCGAAGGAAGGGGCCCAAGAAGCAAGAAAATGTAAATAAGGAGGCTGGGCTCCCCTGAGGATCGAGGGAGTGACCCGCAGCCGGACTTCCCCTGGGCCTCATCCTCCACGCTCCCGAGGCCCGAGAAACATCCACTCAACCCAGGCTCGTCTCTTGGAAACCCTTTTTTGGTCCTAAACTTTATTTTTGGGAGGCTCTAAATTTTTATTTCCCCACTGGGAGGCAACACGCTTGCAAAGCAGCCGTGTCGTTACTTGGGAGACACCCCCAAACAGTCTGATCCTGCAGCCCAAGAACAGTCCCAGGGAGCTGTGGCTGGGACCAGCGTCCTCCATGGGCCAGTGACTTACTCTGTCTGTGATACAGTCTGGAGCAGGTTCTGGGTTGTTCTGATGAGCTTCCTGAGGGGAAGGAAGTGGGGTGGGGCACAGCGCAGCTGAGAGGCTGGGGCGGCTCATGCCCCGGGGACCTGGGGTCTGTGCCCTGTGGGGTCGCGGTGACAGTCCTCCTGCCTGTGGTCAGAGCCCACGGCTATAGAGCAGAGCAGCCCCGGGACAGGCCGCGACACATGCCGCTGAGCAGCTGTTCCTGGCGTGGTGGCTTTGTTCGTCTCCCTTTTTGTGTTTTCCACACAGTTCTCAGATTGACGTTTCACCTGCGGTCTAAGTCCCTTTAATGTTTTGGTCTGCCAGGAGGCTTACTCAGAGTTGTGAACTGGAAATTTGACACATGTCCACACACACACACACACACACACACACACACACAGTGCAGAAGTTGTTGCCTTTAAATGGGCCCATGCCTGGTCAGGGGTGACCGTCTAACAGGCCCACATGCCTGGTCAGGTTGACCATCTAACGGGCACGTGGCTGGTCGGGGGTGACCATCTAACGGGCCCACGTGCCTGGTCGGGGGTGACCGTCTAACGGGCCCACGTGCCTGGTCAAGTTGACCATCTAACAGGCCCGTGCCTGGTCAGGGTGACCGTCTAACGGGCCCGTGCCTGGTCAGGGGTGACCGTCTAACGGGCCCGTGCCTGGTCAGGGGTGACCATCTAACAGGCCCGTGCCTGGTCGGGGGTGACCGTCTAACGGGCCACGTGCATGGTCAGGTTGACCATCTAATAGGCCCATGCCTGGTCAGGGGTGACTGTCTAACGGGCCCACGTGCCTGGTCAGGTTGACCATCTAACAGGCCTGTGCCTGGTCAGGGGTGACTGTCTAACGGGCCCATGCCTGGTCAGGGGTGACCATCTAACGGGCCCACGTGCCTGGTCAGGGGTGACCGTCTAACGGCCCACGTGCCTGGTCAGGGATGACCGTCTAACGGGCCCACGTGCCTGGTCAGGTTGACCATCTAACAGGCCCGTGCCTGGTCAGGGATGACCGTCTAACGGGCCCACGTGCCTGGTCAGGGTGACCATCTAACAGGCCCGTGCCTGGTCAGGGATGACCGTCTAACGGGCCCACGTGCCTGGTCAGGGATGACCGTCTAACGGGCCCACGTGCCTGGTCAGGTTGACCATCTAACAGGCCCGTGCCTGGTCAGGGATGACCGTCTAACGGGCCCACGTGCCTGGTCAGGGATGACCGTCTAACGGGCCCACGTGCCTGGTCAGGTTGACCATCTAACAGGCCCGTGCCTGGTCAGGGATGACCGTCTAACGGGCCCACGTGCCTGGTCAGGGATGACCGTCTAACGGGCCCACGTGCCTGGTCAGGTTGACCATCTAACAGGCCCGTGCCTGGTCAGGGATGACCGTCTAACGGGCCCACGTGCCTGGTCAGGGATGACCGTCTAACGGGCCCACGTGCCTGGTCAGGTTGACCATCTAACAGGCCCGTGCCTGGTCAGGGATGACCGTCTAACGGGCCCACGTGCCTGGTCAGGGATGACCGTCTAACGGGCCCACGTGCCTGGTCAGGTTGACCATCTAACAGGCCCGTGCCTGGTCAGGGATGACCGTCTAACGGGCCCACGTGCCTGGTCAGGGATGACCGTCTAACGGGCCCACGTGCCTGGTCAGGGATGACCGTCTAACGGGCCCACGTGCCTGGTCAGGGATGACCGTCTAACGGGCCCACGTGCCTGGTCAGGGATGACCGTCTAACGGGCCCACGTGCCTGGTCAGGGATGACCGTCTAACGGGCCCACGTGCCTGGTCAGGGATGACCGTCTAACGGGCCCACGTGCCTGGTCAGGGATGACCGTCTAACGGGCCCACGTGCCTGGTCGGGGGTGACCGTCTAACGGCCCACGTGCCTGGTCAGGGGTGGCCCCCGAATGGCAGTCCTGCAGAGGATTCTCACCCCGGGTGTCTGTCCTCATGGCCGGGAGAGTGACATCTCCCCTGCTCGAGGACGTGTGCTCAGCTCAGAGCCACGGCGCAGACGGAGCGGAGAGCAGCCAGCCTCCTCCCTGAGCCCATGCGGCCCCTGCGGAGGGAGCCAGACTGCCTCTGCACTGCCAATCACAGACCCGAGGCATGCACAGACGCCTTCCTCTAACGCTCTTATATCGTTTCAGAAACACGAGGATGAAAGTGAAGCCTGGCTGCACAGACAGGTAACTATTCCGTGTGTAAATCCCACACTCGCCATCTCCACCAGCCACGTCCTCCTTCCCCAGCTTTTACAACATGGCTTCTCACATTAACTCCTACAGGAAGCTCCAGGAACACGCGCGCACACACACACAGACACACACACACGTGCAAGGTTCCGTGGGGCCGGGGCCCTAGGGCCGCTCAGCACCCCCTCGTCCCCCGCCCCACGAGGCCCAGCAGGGCTGGAGAGCCGTGGGCTCTGTGGGAGGGGCTGGAGAGCCCTGCGCAGAGTCCTGCAGCGTTCTCAGGCCTCAGGGTGTCCCTCTGGTGTACTGGGGACGAGTCCACACACATTGCCTGGATTTAACCTATGTTCATTCACTCAGTCGTGTCTAACTCTCTGCGGCCCCATGGACTGTAGCCCGCCAGGCTCCTCTGTCCCTGGGATTCCCCAGGCAAGCATCCTGGACTGGGATGTCGTCTCCTCCTTCAGGGGATCTTCCTGACCCAAGGATCGAACCTTCATCTCCTGCACTGGCAGGCAGGTTCTTTACCACTAACACCACCTGGGAGGCCCACTTTGGTGAAAGAAGATGAAACGTGGCTGATGTTCCTGACTTTCTCAGCCTGGCTCAAGGAAGCCTCCTTCGAGGGGAACTCCAGACAGGTCGGCTGAGTCTTCCCTGGATTTCTGTCCCTGACTCGGCTAAGAGATGCAGGTGAACCAGGCTTGAGGAACTGGAGGCAATCGGATGAGACCTGCAGTCAACAAAAAATTCAACTCCCACCAAAAAAACCCTGAGCACTGGTAGTTTCTTTCTTCAGTTACTTTTTTCTTGTTGCAAAGCCTGACATTAGAAAGCACACGTGGAAGGTTTTGAAAGCTCACTTCCTTCTCATCCTACCGAATGGGATGAAAATCATCTGAAAATTCTATGGGAAAGATGAGACTGGATTTGAGCCTCAGAATGACGGTGGGGATGGCAGAGACATGCTTCTTTACTGACAGGGTGGAGTCCATCCGTGGAGAGTCCCTGAAGCTGCACTGTCCGTAGTGGCTCTCCAAGGACATCCTGGAAGCTCCGTGCGCACCCGCGTTACCTGCGGAGTCAGCGGTCTGGACTCGCCTTCCGTCAGTTATCTCAGGGGAGGGCAGCAGCCTCAGAGAAGGAGCGATGTTTTAGATACAGCCCTGTTCTGCCCTGGGCCCGCCTGATACAGAAGAGGAACACTTGTGTGGCCACTTTTTTCCTGTGTCCAACTTCGGATGCCAAGTCCCCGCTAGGAAATACCCATAATGAGACTGTGCTCGGGCATCCTAAAGTATTCGCTGGGGAGCTGAGACGTTCTTGAGTGCCACCTAGACCAGTGATGCGAGCACAGGCACCAGACGCAATGTTATGACATGCCTCTTAAAATCACACAAAATGCCCGAGTGGTTGAAGGGAGAGAGTCGGGGAAAAAATTCATTATCTGCGTAATCATCTGTTCCACTAATAGGGGATCATGCCAGACAGCGTGCTTTGTGGATCTCAAAAACTCATGCCCACCACTTCCACTTGCTTCACAGCTGAACAACAGGTCGCCGGGTGGGCAAACACACTTTGCTCTTCAGTGATGGCGTCTGGGTTGTTCCCGCCCTGCGGCTGGTGTGGGCTGTGCTGCCGAGGGCACAGCGCCGAGTGACCGGGGCCGCCCGCCGTGCGACTCCACGTCCCTGAGATGCCCGGGGAGACAGAGTCAAGAAGCGGGGGGCTGCGTGGGGGCTACAGCGGTTGGCAAGCTGGAGGTGGGGGAGCAGCTGGTGGATTCCGGGCTCCCCCCGGGGGATGGAAACCCAATGGGGGGTGTGCCACATCTCGAACGTGTCCGTACCACGGAGGGCTTGCTTTTGTGAACGTGTTTCCGTTTGTGTCGTCCTCGACTTTGTACGGGAGGAATGTGCTGGAGCAGCAGCCTCCAGGACGTCCCACTGAAGACCGGGAGAGGGTGCCTGGGTCCCAAAGCGGGGGCGTGGTGGAGTCCTAGTCTGTGCCTGGGCGTGGAAGGGCTCGGCCATCACAGGTGGGATCGGGGTTGCGGGGCACCAAGCCTCCCGCCACGGGCAGTTCGTGTCTGAGCCGGGGGAGGGGGGATGGACTTAACTGAAGCGGGGTGCAGTTTGTCTCCTCATGGGCAGAGCGCTGTGGGGAAGCCAGGGTCAGAGGGTCCCCTCCTCGCCCCTGCCTTCCCAGTTTGATCCCTGGGTTGGGAAGATCCTTTGGAGGAGGAAATGGCAACCCACTCCAGTGTTCTTGCCTGGGAAATCCCATGGACAGAGGAGGCCGGCGGGCTACAGTCCATGGGTCCCAGAGTTGTACTGAAGCGACTCAGCCCACATGCACTCTCCTAGTCAAAAGTCATTGCACTTGTCCACTGAAGATACGTCTGCGACGTGAGAAACCGAGTCTCAGCGAGGTTCAAAGGCTGGTCTTGCCCGTTCCCGCCGAGGAATGTTCCCAGGATGGATGTAAAGGTGATATGGCGATGCGTGGGGCCTTAGTGTAAAAGCAAGGTTTCGGCCAGGATTAATAATTTATTACATTTACTCATAGTATTTTTTCTCTGCCAAAAGTGCAGACATTTCCCCCCAGAAAACAGATGCAGTATTGTGGTATCCATCCTGCGGTTGGCAAATAAAGGTGCCTGTAAAAAGCCAGATTTACGGCTGGGTTTTTCCGTCGCCTCTATTTTTAAATACCATGCTTCCAGCTCTAAATAGAAAAATAAATATTTGCAGATTAGAGGTTTCATTTTACTGCAAATATTCATGAAGATTAAATGTCACTTTAATCACATGTTGGTTTATTTCTCTGGGCATATCACATTTGCATGTGTTCATTCACCGCAGGGAAATGAGTTCTCCTCCTGCCAGCTGGGGTTTATTTACCATTTGTTCCCCTCCGCCTTAGCATGGATCTCCTCGAATCAGAAAATGGATGTTGTGGCCGACTAATTGGAAACCTTCAAGCTACAGCTTCGCAGAGGCTGGGGTGTCACCCCCCCAAAACAAAATCCCTTTTTGCCCATCCAGGCGACCGCCAACCTGAGGAGGGGTGGCTGGGCACCAAGCGGGCCCCCTCAGCTTTTAGGGTGGGGGGCAAACCAAGATGCAGGCACACGCTCCAGGCGCTGGCTTTGAGTCCAGCCTGGAATTCTCTCCCCCAGGGAAAACTGGGAATGCTGGTTTTGTCTCCAGGGGAAAGAGACAGCACGTGCTTGCGTAGTTGTGTCCGACTCTTTGCAACCCCGTAGACTGTGGCCCTCCAGGCTCCTCTGTCCATGGGATTTCCCAGGCAGGAATACTGGAGTGGGTTGCCATTCCCTCCTCCAGGGCACCTTTCCGAACCAGGGATGGAACCTGAGTCTCCTGAATTAGCAGGCGGATTCTGTACCTCTGAGCCCCCTGAGAAGCCAGCAGTGACAGAGGATCCAGGCAAACATGTGCCACCTACCGAATGGGCGTGGGGAATGCCCCGCTCCTCAGACAGCATCTGAGAAGCACAGTGAGACCCGGAGAACACTGTGCTCCACCCACGTCGTAGCACACACAGAGTCTGTCCATGTTTGCTGGGCTTTTTTCCCTTTCTTTTTTCTCGTCTCCATGGTGGGCTATTCAGTATGAGGTGGATTTTATTGAATAAAAGGTCAAAGGATGGAAAGAATAGAATTCATTTTTAGGCAAAATCAGATTTGTGCTTCTTCAGAATTATGATAGCTAACTCCCTGGATGATAGAAACAAACTTCTTTACAAAACAGAAATAGACTCACAGGCATAGAAAACAAACTTAAGTTTACCAAAGGGGGTGGGGATAAGTTAGGAGTTTGAGACTAACATATACATCCTTCTGTATATAAAATAACAAGGACCTCCAATACTTTGTCCACCTGATGCAAAGAACTGACTCATTTGAAAAGACCCTGATGCTGGGAAAGATTGAAGGCAGGAGGAGAAGGGGACGACAGAGGATGAGATGGCTGGATGGCATCACCGACTCAATGGACATGAGTTTGAATAAACTCCGGGAGTTGGTGATGGACAAGGAGGCCTGGCGTGCTGCGGTTCATGGGGTCGCAAAGAGTCGGACACGACGGAGGGACTGAACTGAACTGAACTGTACTGCACAGGGAACTGTGTTCAGTGTCTTGTAATAACCTCTAATAGAAGAGAATCTGAAATATATATCTATATATGTACAGATACACACACACATAACTGAATCACTTTACTATACCCCTGAAGCTCACACGACACTGTAAATCAACTATATTTCAGTTTTTTTAATGGTTTAGCAAACGCCCCTGGAGAATTTTTCAGGGCCCCCTGGATTCTGTGGCCCCAGGTGAGTGGGGAGCCCGACCCTGCACTTCCTGAGTGCTGAGCTGTTATCTCTGGATTCCTCACATTCTTTTAGGAAGCTGGAGGTTTAACGCATGATTCACAAGGAGAGAAAAGGCCCTACACAGACTTTATCCCTCCCACTGTATCTCTCGTTGGAAATGACACAGAAGTGTATCTCAAGACGTGTTTTATCCTAGTTCAACCTCTCAAAACCCAATGAAGCAGTTTATAGCCTTAATCAATGGCTTCTGTCCGCAGAATGAAGAGCCGGTATTCTCCAAGGATGGCCGGAAGTTCTTCTTCGTCCGAGCAATCCCGCAGGGTGGGCAGGGGAAGTTCTACCACATCACCGTCTCCTCCTCCCAGGTGAGCCCCCCATCAGGTGAGCCCCCCTCCCAGGTAAGCCCCGTGCCAGGTGAGCCTCCCCAGTTTTTGCTCAGCGAGTGGGATTGGCCCCCAGGGGCCAGGGCTGAGTGCACTTGTCACCTTCAAGGTGTGCAGAGGGGAGCAGGGCCCCAAAACTGGAAGGTGGCTCCCCCGTGGGGACAGAGAGGGCCCTGATGAGCCAGCCGTTCTGAGCAGGCGGAGGTGGTGTTCCTGCCTCCTGTTACTGCTCAGGAGCACAACAGGAGTGATGCTTCTGATGACATCAGGGGAGACCCCGGGCACTTTGTTGGGTCTGAGCCCAGGGCACGTAGACCGCTGTGTTCACTGGTCTGCCCGGGCAGCCTGGCCTCCCTCTTCGGGGTCCTGGGGGCCGGCCCCCATGCCCTCGCGGCCCCCAGGGCGTCCCATCTCCACGGTCAGCCAGAGTCACCTGCTGTTGCCTGCGCTGGAGCTGCGGGCAAAGGGCAGAGGGTCACTGATCAGGGAACGTGGGAGCTGAATACAGTGCGTTTAAACAGAGCAGGCTGCCAGTGAGTCCACCCCCTGCAGGGGGAGCACCCGGGTCCTGTCCCCTCCCTGCACCTGCAGGGTGCTCCCCGAGGCTGCCCTTCAAGGACCCCACTCAGGAGGAAGGCAAGGGGTGCTGGCCTCCCATCTGCACCGCCCTAGGCCTCGGCAGGCAGGTCTGCGTTGAAGCAGGTCCAGAACTGTTCAGGATCAGGACATGTGAATGAAATTGTTTTTTAAAAAGTTATCAAAAATATCCCACGAGTATAAAGTAGTTTCCTATTCATGGTATGACCCTAAAGATAACCTCCAAGGAAAAATTCCAAGAATGCCCCATGGAGTAGCCTTGATGGGGCAGGCTCCAGGGCTGGGTGCCTGCTAGTCACCCAGCAGGAAGCACATATCCTCAGGAGGGCTCCTCCCCGGGGGCCCTTGGCCCCCACTGCCCTGTGGGTCTCCTGGCCCCCCGCTTCTCCCGACAGGCCCTGCCCCCACCGGCTGTCCCTTGTCCTGAGACTACCCCTGGGGTCCCCGCTCCCAGGACACCCCTGGCTCACGCCTTGCGTCTCACATCCCGGCCCTATGGGGACATCCACGTCTTTCTCCGTGTGTTATGGTTTAAACTGTCACAGTCGTTCTGCTCTGGGAGGCCCTTGGGGACAGACTGTGTGTGCAAATGTGCAACACGCAGGAAAACGCCTTCAGACCATCCCTGAGACCAACAGCAATGATGACCAAGGGCCAGGGTGCCCTTCCCTGCCTCCCACCCCCCCCCTTCCCGGCTTTATTCTTTCTCTCCCTGCCCTGTCTATCCACGTCCCCATGTCTCTCTGCTCTCGTCTCATCCCCCTACAGTGATGACCCCCTAACTAGACTCACAAGCTGTGAAGGAACACCGTCCCCGGCCCGTGAAACACTGGTGGTCAAGGCGCAGAGCTCGCGGCGGGCGTCGCCGGCGATCTAGTCGCTGGTTGGTCAGCGCCGTGCCAGGGTCCTGCCCGGTCACAGCAGCACTCAGAGAATCGGGGCTGGCCACACGAGGCCAGGGTGGGGGCAGAGGAGGGGTCACCCCAGGGAGGCCCTCCTCACCACCTCGTGTCTGAGGGCCCCGGGCCGAGAAGGGAGGCTGCGACCCAGCCGCTCACGCCCGCCCGTGTTGCAGCCCAACAGCAGCAACGACAACATCCAGTCCGTCACCTCCGGGGACTGGGACGTGACCAAGATCCTGTCCTACGACGAGAAGCGGAGTCAGATGTGAGTGAGCCTTCGCCCTGCCGCCCGCCATCCTGCTCCACTCAAACGGCCCTCGGCCCGGACCTCCCGGGGGGCTTCTCAAGGCCCTAGTTCCCACCACGCCACCTCCCGAGTCGCCGGGTCCTAGCGACTAGCCTGCAGGCCCGGGCACAGGGGCCAGCCATGCGGGGTCCCCGAGCCTCCGCTGGCTCTCGGGGCTGGGGGTCGGGGAGCCAACTGCATCCCCAGTGAAGGTTCACTGCTTCCCCCGCTTCTAAGAGAGACGGGCCAAGACAGAAAGAAGTTTCGGACTTCCCCCAAACTGTCAGGCCGGTAACATCAGGAGCTGGGGCTCCACTCAGGCCGTCCGGGGGGCCAAGGGGGACGCCATCACCCTGCCCGCTCCTGGACCAGAGCCTGGGTTCCCGCGTGGGGTGCCGGGCGGGCCTGGGCCGAGGAGTCGTGGAGGCGGGCTGCGTGTCTGGACTCCCGGCCCTGGCCCTCCAGAGGGTTAGTCCTGTGAAGGGAGTCCCAGCTATGCGCCCCGTGGCCGAGCCCTGGGCGGTGCGGGCACACCCGGGCCAGCGGAGGTCAGCCCGGGCGCGGCGCCTTCAGCCCGTGGGAGTGTGGCCGTCCCCTCCCTGCCCACGGGGAGCTGGCCCGGGGCAGGAAGTTGCCAACTGTGGGCCCTGAACAGCGCAGGACCCCCGGGGGGCGGCGGGGGGCCGGCCTGGCGTGCCAAGTACAAACCTGCCCCGAAGCCAGCTAACCGCTGTGCCCCCGCTGGTCTTCACAGCTACTTCCTCAGCACGGAGGACCTGCCGAGGCGGCGCCAACTGTACAGGTGNTCCAGACGGGAGGGAGGTGGCCGCTGGTTCCTGCCGCAGGCTCAGGGCCACCTAAGGGGACTCCGCGATGTGAGGCCCGGTGGCCTGGGCGGAGCCGGTGCCTGCCCCCCGCCCCGTCAGGTGCACGGCCGCCCCCTCCAGCCGCAGAGTAAGGGCTGCACAGGGGAGGTCCCTTCAGAGGCTGAGAAAACTTGGGCACATCCCTGCAGTCACAGGCCCACTTCTCTCCGTGGACGAGTCACCTCTGCTTGTCCACCTGGATAATCCCATCCGTCCCGCCTCCAAATTAGCAAAGCGTGATGGAGGCTGGCCGCCCACCTGCCTCTGACTTGTCCCGTCAGGACGCCGTCCCCTCCCCACCAAAAGGTCTTCGGTTCGGTGGACGGTTTTCTCGTCCAGACCCTTCCTGTGCCAGCAACTCGGGCTGGGACTTCTTCCAGGCTTCTGGAAAGCACCTCGGTTTCTGTAGCCTCTGATAACACCTGTTGGTTAAGCCTTCGGGGCGTGAAATCGTGCTTGATCACCGAGGCCCCGAGTGACAGCTGCGGGTCGCCCGCTCCTGTTCTCGGCCCCTGAGCGAGCAGCTCCCTCCCGCCCTCTCGCTGGTCGTGGGGGAGCCCGAAGCCCAAGCGCTGCAGTTTCGAGAGCCCCTGCCTTGCCCTGCCCCGGTGACAGGTGCTCCGAGGGGAGTGAAAGACCCCAGATCACGTAGATCCTGCTCCCAGAGCGCCGGTCACCTGCTCAGAGGGACCCAGCGCTGGAGACAACACCCCACACTCTCCCACCAGGAGTCGTCCCACCGGGGTGACCCCCAGGAGCAGCCGTGCCCGGGGCGGGGGGGCTCATGACAGCCAAGCCCGGCATGGCATCCAGGGGGTCTCAGCAGGGAGACGGGCAGAGGGACCGCGCCCCCAGACGTCCCCTGTAGGAGAAGCCGGCGGGGCACTCACAGGGCTGGGGCTGAGGGTCTGGCCTGCAGTGACCACCCCCGCCTGTCCCCCCTCCTCCACCCGCAGCGCCAGCACAGTGGGCAGCTTTAACCGGCAGTGCCTGTCCTGCGACCTGGTGGACAACTGCACCTACTTCAGCGCCTCCTTCAGCCCCGGTGCCGACTTCTTCCTGCTCAAGTGCGAAGGTGAGTTCCCGCCACCATCCGGGCATGCGTCGTTCTTAGCTGCTGCGGGGACCGGCAGGTACCCCCCTCCAGGAGCTCCAGGACCTCCGAACAGGAAGGACCGCCGGCTGAGGGCGTCAGCTCACCGAGGAATGTTCCTGGATCACCTCTGGATCATTCCTGATGTTTTACATCTTATAAAGGGTTACAGCTTATCAAGAGTGTTCTCCACATGCTCTGCTGGTTAATCCTAAAATTCACCTACATTTTCCTTAAAAAAAAAATTTATCTTACACATGGATGGATGCAGGTCATCTAAAAAGGTGATGAAACAGTTTCAAAAATAATTAAGTATATGTAAAGATTGAGATATAAAAGAACCCAGAAAAAAAATAATTTTCCTAGGACCCAGTGCATGGATAATTTATCCCACACTTCAAAAAGTTCTTGATCACACCAGTCAGCACAGACAAAACAGCAGGCCAAGTCCCATCATGGACACAAAGAAATATCTTTGCATCTTTTCCTCATGTCTTGGAAAGATAAGATAGGAACCCACAGAAAGGTAAGAGATAACAAATACAATTGTAACAAAATATGTCTCAGGGAAGAGCTTGATCTACTGAGATCATCTCATGGGAGGAAACTGCACTGAGCGCAGAAACACACACACACCAGGAGCAACTCGATCCCAGGGTCGCGGCTGAGGCGTGAGGAGCCTTCTGCAGGCTGTGATAGCCTGATGGCCACTTGGCAGCTCGAGACCTCATCCTCTCTGTATCAGCATCATCATCTGAAATCTCAGCCCCTTCATCACCCAAGCTCAGTCCCAGACACTGTCCTCGGATGATGTGATGGGNGGGGGTCACAAAGAATCGGACACGACTGAGCAACTGAACTAACTGAACTGAACTGAACGTTCACCAGTGTTTGCTCCTGCTAGGTTCCACGGGGTCTTCTCACACCAGAGCTCAATGGGAAGGGCCTCGTGTGAGGACGGCAGCCTTTTGTTGTTCAATCCCGTGGACTCCCACCCAGGGTTGAAACTGAACGGCTCTCCCAGGACATCTGTGGCACTGGGTTTGGGCACGGAAGCTCCCGTGTGCGGGTGGTGGATGTAACAATGGCGCCCGCCTTGGGAGGCCCCTTGGACAGCGCGTGGAGGTCACTGGACAATCATTTGTGTGCAAATTTCCTGTCCTCCTGCTGGCGTCCGTCCCGAGTGGGGAATAACGTTTCTTTTTATGTTTATGCTCCAGCCAGTCCAGGGACTTGTTTTCTTTATAAAGCTGCCTGTATGGTGATCTGTGGATATTCGGGTGAGATGGCTCCTCTGTGGCCACTGTGAAGGATAACAGAAGCAGAGAGGCAATAGGGCCACCCCAGGTCACAGACACGACTCGGCCCCTGAAACCCCTGTGAGCTCAGCTTCAGAAGGACGAGCGTCCCTCCCCACACACACGCCTGGACCCACTAGTGACAGAACTGATTCGTAGAGTTTGAAGGATAGGAGGCCTCAGAGACCATCTGACCTGATCTCCACCCCCTGCTGCATGTTAATAAGAAACTTAACTCTTAACTGATTGTGGAGTTGTCACCTCAGGACTCTTTGAATCATCGGAAAGTAGTGTTAGTCACTCAGTCGTGTCTGATGCTTTGCGACCCAGTGGACTGTAGGCCGCCAGTCTCCTCTGTCCATGGAATTCTCCAGGCAGAAATACTGGAGTGGGTTGCCATTCCTTCCCCATGGGATCTTCCCGACCCAGGGATTGAACCCAGGTCTCCTGCATGGCAGGCAGATTCCTTACCATCTGAGCCACCAGGGAAGCCCAGTAGATATAAAGTAGACCCCAGTGTGTAGCCCGCAGCAGTGTTTATTAAACTCCACGCCCTCTCCTGTTTGCTTCTTCCACACTCCAAAGCCACTCTGATAGACTTTATTTATTTATTTGGCTGCATCGAGTCTTGGTTGTGACACCTGGGATCTCCGTTTTGTCCTGCAGGATCTTTGGTTGTGGTGCACAGACACTAGTCGTAGCATGCTGGCTCTGTTGCTCCACATGGCATGGGGGATCTTAGTTCCCCAACCGGGGATCTCATCTACGTCCCCTGCATTGCATGGCAGACTCTTAACCACTGGACCACTTTTGTAAACCTCTGAGCAGCATTTCACTGCTCCTCCCCTGCTACAGGACTCTACTATGTAGGTAAACTTAACTTCTCAGATGCAAGAACAGCAACTAAAATCTCTCCTTTTAAGGCTGAGGGGAAATGTAAGGGCAGCTGGACGATTCTCTTGGGTGAATTGGGAAAGGAAAGTGTGGATGCTCCCGGGCTCAAAAGTGTCCGGCCCATCACACCAGGAACCACAGATGTTCATCTTGGTCAGGGATTGTGGTCAGAGGATTCACTAACTAGTTCAAGGTGGACCCTAGCCACTGAAATAGAGGCCCAGTCGGAGCAGATGCAAGCTCACCCCACATCCGTACATAAGGGCTGGGTGTCATAGCCACTGTGAAATGGTGGCAGCCCCATGTAAACCTGTCCTTCTTCCTTTTCGTGGACCTTCCATTATGATGGTTTCTGGTAAGCTTATCCGATATGGGTCTGTCACCTTAGCTTACACTGCAGTGCCCAGCGGTGTAACCCCATGATGACTAATCACAGCTCATCAATAGCTTGCAGTCAGAACTTCTGTTTAATCAGTCCTCTGGCATATAGTTCCTCTCCTTGGTGGTGGTGTTGGTCAGCTCCTGAGTCCTGTCCGACTCTGTGTGACCCCATGGACTGCAGCACACCAGAATCCTCTGTCCTCTACTATCTCCCGGAATTTATTCAAACTCATGTCCACTGAGTCAGTGATGCCATCCAACCATCTCATCCTCTGTCGTCCCCTTCTCCTCCCACCTTCAATCTTTCCCAAAATCAGGGTCTTTTCAAACGAGTTGGCTCTTGACATCAGGTGGCCAAAGTATTGGAGCTTCAGCTTCAGCATCAGTCCTTCCAATGAGTATTCAAGGTTGATTTCCTTTAGGATTGACTGGTTGGATCTTCTTGCTGCTGTAGTAGATTCTGTCCATCTTCCTTGTTGTAGCGTTTCATCTCATCATCATGTACTTTCTCCTCTAATTTTTCATTAACATTTCCTCTGTGGTTTCTCAAAGATTGCCACTTTTATAATTCTTAAATTTTAAATTTTTATTATGTGACCACTTTCAAATATATACATTACTTTTATACCTTTGCACACTGTTAGATTAAACATAGACTAAAATAGAATATAAGTAAGTAGAGACTCAGAAATGCTTGTAATGCTTATATCCACTCGTACATGGCTGGATCCCATCTATCACTGTCAGTATTTATATCTAAATGGCATGGGTTTTAGGCGATCACTGAATACTTCCATGAGGTTCATGTGTAAACTATGTTCAGTAGAACTTTGTGGAAACTCACTTGCATATTTAATGTAGGGATTAGATTCTTTTCCAGATCTCTGGGGCCTGGCAATGAAGCCAGCTGCATCCAAAAGGTTGTATTATGATATAGCATCTTATAATGAGGTCAGATATAATCTAAGGTAAGCCAGTAAGCCTCAGTTTACATGCTTAGTGGGTCTTCTCAAGACCCTGAGATAGGTAATGGAAATAACCCAATACTTGTCCAGCTTCTTACATGTTGAAAAGTACATTCTTATAGTTTAATACTCAACGCCCATATTCCCATGTCTGACTCCTTGTAATTTATGCCCTTATCACAAATAGATCTGCTTAGAGTACCCTACACTCAGTGTTCCACACGTCCATACTTTTGCCTGACTGCCCAGTGACCTCCTATACACCCTCCAGGATTTCTCTCAGGCAAAAGTTGATTTTTATTCCCTCTCAGGAGCGTTGAAAATGTTAGTCACTCAGTCATGTCTGACTGTGACCCCATGGACTGTAGTCTCGCCAGGCTCCTCTGTCCATGGGATTTCCCTGACAAGAATATTTGAGTAGGTAGTCATTCCCTTCTCTAGGGGATCTTCCCAACCCAGGGATCGAATTTAAAGATTCTAGCTCCTTGGAAGGAAAGCTACAACGAACCGAGACAACACATTAAAAAGCAAAGACATCACTTTGCCAACAAAGGTCCACATAGTCAAAGCTATGGTTTTTCCAATAGCCATGTACAGATAACAGAGTTGGGTGATAAAGTAGGCTGAGCACCTAAGAATTGATGCTTTTGAACTGTGGTGTTGGAGAAGACTCTTGAGAGTCCCTTGGACAAAAAGGAGATCAAACCAGTCCATCCTAAAGGAAATCAGTTCTGAATATTCATTGGAAAAACTGATGCTGAACTGAAGCTCCAATACTTTGGCCACCTGATGCAAAGAGCTGACTCATTGGGAAAGACCCTGATGCTGGGAAAGACTGAAGGCAAAGGAGAGGTGGGTGGCAGAGGATGAGATGGTTAAATAGTATCACTGACTCAATGGACATGAACTTGAGCAAACTCCAGGAGATAGTGGAGAACAGGGAAGCCTCATGTGCTGCTGTCCATGGGGTTGCAAAGAGTTGGACATGAGTTAGCAGCTAAACAACAAAAGAAGCCAATGTCTACATGACCCCTTCCATCTAAGACCCCTTGTCTTCTCTGATGCGTTCTGGTGGGATGTGTTGAACGCTGACCAGATAAAATACATCTGTTACAATAATAAATATATATGTGCTTTATGCATGTAATTACTCCGGCATATCATAGTTATGGTTTAGGGAGAAAATCTAAACTGTCTCCCCTGGGCTCTTTGATCCAGACAGGTGTCTGTGTACATCCAACCAACCCATCTTCCAGAGAAAAGGTTACATATACATCCATTCTAAGAATTTTTTTTTTAATTTCTTTATTTTGGGTTGTGCTGCATCTTCACTGCTTCGCATAGGCGTTCTCTAGTTGTGGCAAGTGGGAGCTGCTCTCCACTGTGGCGGCTTCTCTCGGCACGCAGGCTTCAATAGTTACAGCACGTGGACTCAGCAGTCACG